GGAGAATTCACCAGATTCACTGGCTATAATGTCTGTTCCATGGAGTTTTGTCTTATCAGTTTCCTTTATGTGTTATTTCTGTCATTTGTTTTTGTTTTTCTAGTTTTTTTTTTCAATCATTCAAAGACTTCTGAAAACAGAACATTTGCTCCATTTTAAATGAGTTTTATACACTTCTCAAAAAAACAAAGGTATGTTTAGTCATTCTGGTAGTATTTGGAAATGCATATTTTGTTTGACATTATTCCTGAATTAGATTCTTCCTCATCAGAATAAGTGTAGAAATGCTTCCATATGTTTGAAGTTGTTCTCATCATTTTGCCAAGAGGGAAAAAGGAAGAATGTAGTTTACAACAGTTTTCATATGACCATATATTTAATAATTTTTTCCCATAAAGTTAGCTAAAACAACTTTTATACTGCTTAAATATGCTACTAAAGTTAAGATAATAATATCATTGGTCTAAACATACTAAATAGTGATTGACAAATTTTTTAAAATATTAAAATGAAATGAAAGTATATTTTACTATTTTGATTTCTTTTACAAAATAAGACTTTAGGTAAGGATCTGACTTTACTGTTTTCCCAAATAGCTACAAATCACATAGCACTATTAAAAACATGCTTCAGTTTTTCATATACTAAATTCTTTTCCATGTAATAAATTCTTATATATAAATTTTTGTAAAAAATCTCTTCTGTTCCATAGATATCCTTACTAATTCCTGATCTCTTTACTAAGATCTCCTGACTAATGCCTAGGAATGTTTTAATAATTGCAGGTTTTATGGTATATTTTAATATATGGTAGATCAGATAAATGTCTTTTCAGTATTACAGTTTTTTCAGAACATTCTTGGCTTCTTTCAGATAAATGTTAGAATGATTTTGCAACGTTTCAAAAATATCTGATGGGATTTTTTTATTAGAATTTCATTAAACCCATAAATTAGGTTAGGAAGAATAAATTGATTTTCCTACCCAGGATCATGGTAGGTCTTTTCCCATATTCAATTTAAAAATATTTCCCTGTAAACTATATAATATTCTATATAGGGGTCCAGTATATTTCATATTTAATTATAGATATTATAGATTTTCTTTGCAGGTGGGGGAGGGGTGTGGGGAGAAAACATTAGCATTACTTTAAATGTTCCTAACTCTAGTTTTCCCATTCTTTTTATAATGTAACTTTTGATAATGGAAGGTTATTTAAAGACTTAATTATCAACCTGTAGCAGAACAAACTATTCAATGCATATGAGGATCTCCAGATTATAGTATCATACATAACAAGTTTCCAGCTTCTAAGACACCAAATTAGATGTGTTCTTAATTGCCTGTCCAGAGCCTTTTAGCCAGGCAGGGCATTGATGATTATTTTTTCCTCCTAATTTTCTTGTGAATGTGTAACTGTTATCATCAATGACTATTTACTTCAAGTTCTTTGAGGCATTTTCAGAAGGATTGGAGTACATTCACCAACACCAGCATTAAAGTCTATTCCTGGACTGCCCATCTTAGGCAATGGCATTACCACAGTTAAAACTTTGGGGTTCTCTCTTACACCGCTTCCTCACTTAAACTCACCTACCGAGTCCTCTTGAGTGCTCCAACAGTGTTTTTTTCAACTGTGTCTTTTTTCGTTCCCACATTTCAAAGCCTCCCATCACTCTGCAGTCATCTCCCTCCATTTTGTCCACACCACACTACCTTTCACCTTTACCATAGCCAGAGTGATCTTCCTAAAACTCAAGTCTGATCCTGACACACCCTCACTTGCTTAAGCACAGGATAAATCCAACATGCAGGAGGAGCTAGCTGTATTTTACAATATTGTGTTGAGTGCTAATCATACAAAGATAAATAAGACCTCGACTTGTACCGAGATGTTAAGGAATAAAGGCCAGATGTGTTAGCATCACAGGCTAGCAACTAGTTATCTGACCAGGCTGACTTCCTACCACTCCCTTACCTCTCCCCTGATATCCAGATACCCTGGACTCCTGAGAAAACACTCACCTTGACTCTGTCATGCTTTGCTCAAGCTGCTCTATGCCTGGCCTGCTCTTCATGGCAAAATCTTACCCTTCTTTCAATACTATATTCAACCTCTTGTGAGATGTGAAGCTTTACTCAATGCTTATCCCTCTTCTAACATCATAGAAGGTAGAGCTGGCTACTCGCTTGACTGATCTCCCACAGCAGTTAGTTTGCACCAGTAATGCAACACAAAGAGACTAATTTGTCTCAGTGTCTGTCTTCTTGGCTTTACTGTGATTGTCTTATAGCAGAGGCCCTGAGTCAGTCACCTTTCGACACCTGCTCCAGCACCTAGTCTTACAAATAACACTGAAATGCTCAAGTCTGTGAGAGGAAGCCACAAGCAAAGAAGGTGCTGAGGCCTTCTGTTCTTTTTCTAAAAAATAAGGTAGTGTTTTCTCAAGGCAAAAATTCAACTTATTTTTTTGCATTTTAATAATTCTTGTCCTCAGTGTAAACAGCTTGAAGGCAACATAGGGTTTGGAATCAGAAAACCTGAGTTTAGTCTGCACTACTCTATGAATTTGAACACGTCGCATAACCTCTATAGACTTACCAGCCTCCACCATAAATTAGAAATGTCTGCCTACCAGGGCTGCTTTGAGAGTTATGTGAAATTATATACATAAGAAGCTGAAAAAAATTTTATAAGAAAGCACTCTAAATGTCATTGTAATCTTTATTATGGTTATTTTTATATGTAAATGGAGGCAGTTTTACTTTTCAGAGATTTTAGAAATAATTTTGGAGGAGTAAAGCCCATGTAAATAAATATATATATATATTAATGACACTTGTATCTAAGTTTGCCTAGGTTTTCTAATTTTTAAAATATCCTGGGGAGGGGGTACAAAATTTCATTTCCCCCTCTTAATTTTTGGGTTATCCTACTTCTAAGATTGCCATCAGGTTTCCACAGCTTAGAGTGCTTCTGTGGCAGGTGTAGTATTTTGGATCCTAATCTGTTTTCTTTCTCCCTGGACTTTTCCATTTTTCTCCTGTCTATTCAAGCAGATAGCTGGTTGTGTGCTTATTGACTCAGGGGTGGCACCTGACAGGATGGAGAAGAGAATGCACAGCCTTTCCAGCTTTTGAATTTTAAAGGAAGAATCCTGGGCATAGGGCTAGAAATGGTGAGGAGAGTGGAGCTACCCTCCCAGAGTCAAGAGATTTTTCTGGGCTGGAGAAAGGAGAGGAGAAGGGAAAGAGAAATCCGTGGGCTCCAAAAGCAGAGGGTTCCTATGTCCTGCTTCCTAAGAAGTACTGCTAGGAGGAGTGGCATGATCCCATAAAAATGAGCTGGTTAGGGTGCTGGAAATACTACTTCTCTAGCCAGTAGGGATGTTAGTAACCTGTATAATGTGATTAATAATATCCACCTCACCAAGCAAAGCAATTTTGAGAATTATATGAAGGAAATACATGCGAATACCTGGTACTAAATAGGTATTCAGTAAATGTTATATTCCCTCCAATCCCCATTTATGTTTTGGTCCTGCTCAGCAAGCCACTTTCATTCCTCAGTCAACCCTATGCTCCATTTCCCACGTTCTTGCTCCTGGACTGCTGAGTGGTACTAGACAAAAAGAGCAAAAACCATACAGGCAAGAGCCAAGCTGCCTCCCCCTCCTGTTCTTTCCTCTTCCCCTCTCCCTCCCCCTTCTCCTTCCCCTCCTCATTGTCTCCCTACTCTCCATCCTCTTCATCTTCTTTTATGAACATCACGCTGCTACTAAACCAGTAGTCCTGGTATCCCTTCTCCTTCTCTCACCCAGTCCTGCAGAGACTCAATCCTCTTCCACCATCAGGGCAAAACAGAGCCTCTGTCTGGGCAGCGCAAGCACGCCCTTTGCCCATGTGTCCTCCTGGCAAGGTTAGGCTGGAGTAGGGCAGGGGTAGGGCATTCTTGACAAAATACCGTCCTTCTCCCTTCTCAGTGGACAAATTCTTTGTTTATGAAGTACTGATGGAAGATTGTTTCTGTCTGAGGAGACGTTCCCTTCCAGGGTCTCCGGAAAGAGAATTGAAAGTAAGATCTGAAGGAACTGAGATGTTCCTTTTGATTTCCTATGTCTGAGTGGTAACTCTCTCAAATAGTAACACGAGCCATGACAGCGCATGGCCTCAGAACATGTGGATGGCTAAAAGGAGGCAGGTCGATAATTGAGTTATTCACAGACCTGCAGTTCATGATACCTTATGGAATCTGTGTGGCCTTGGGTGCTCTCTCCTGTCACTATGTTTCTGGTGGAACCCCAAGGGGCACAGGAGGGTGGCAAAGTGCTAGCAAGACTTTGCTGAGTGCTTTGCAGGGAGACAGGTCTGGTTTCCGTTTTGAGCTGAGCATCCTGGTCGAGACACTCAGTTCTCTACTTAGCTGCTCCAGAAATGGTTAAATTTCTCTATGTGGTGCTTAGGTTTCTACACTTAGACAGCAGTGGTAGCCCATCACTAGGGCATATTTGTTAGTGCTTCATACTTATATACTTATATAAATAAATTGGGTTTTCCCATGCTCTCTATAGAAGGAGAGGCCTGAGGTTTTTCAAAGGCATATGTTGTGTTGTCATCCTTGGAAAATGTTATCGTTTGTCTCCTAGTAGATCTCAGAATCCTTAGAGAATAGGAAGTGTGACAGATAAGTTTTGATCACAGGGAAGGTGATGTGGGAGCCATCAGGCATGGGATTGGAAAGACAGATGTAGGTATAATGCTGTCTTGGGGTCTTGATTTCCAGATGGTAAAGGATGTGTGGAGAGCTGAAAGTGTGATTACTTTCACCTTCTGTACCTTTCAACTTCCAATACCTATGGATAGGCCATCGCTGTGGGCCCTCTCAGAAAGCGTAGTTGCCCAAGGATTGGCCTGATCTCTGTCTCAGCTTATTTTCTTTTAACCCTGGGGATATGGTTTACTTTAAGTTGCAATATCTTTGTTCTTTCTGTTTCCTACAGATTCATGAAGGTGGCAGGAAACACAGTGGATGCAGTTACCTGGCAACAGTAGGTATTCACCATTTTTGCTCTTACTTATTATCAGATGCTGTGAAATGAAAGATAAGTAGTTGTCATGAAGTTATAACTGAAATTTAATAAACTATCTTCCGTGCTCCAAGAAAAAAGTTAAAACTAATTCCAAAATTAATTGTTGGCACTCAGTAACTTTAATCATAGTGAAAAATATTTTATTCTGCATTTATACTCTTAGTTTCTGTAAACAACAAGTTCCAGATATTTCCTGAAATTCTTATCCTCCTTCAGTTTGTCGTTGTGAGTCATGGATTGAGTGGGTCTGAGGATCTTGTCATTCCCTTGCTTAAAACCCCTCAGTGCTGGGGCTTCCCTGGTGGCGCAGTGGTTGGGAGTCCGCCTGCCGATGCAGGGGACATGGGTTCGTGCCCCGGTCCGGGAAGATCCCACATGCCACGGAGCGGCTGGGCCCGTGAGCCGTGGCCACTGGGCCTGTGTGTCCGGAGCCTGCGGTCCGCAGCAGGAGAGGCCACAATAGTGAGAGGCCCGCGTACCGCAAACAAACAAACAAACAAACAAAAAAAAACAAAAAACCCTCAGTGCCTTCCCTTTGCATGTAGACCACAAGCCACACTCTCTACTCTGGCCTATAAGGCTCTTTGTGTTTGGCCTCTGCTCTCGTCTGGTGCCACCCTGCCCTCACTCATTCTGTCCCAACACACTGGTGAGGACCTTCAGTTTGTAGAGGGTTCACATGCATGTCTGCCTCAAGAACTTTGTATGTGTCATTCCCTCTGCCTGGAATGCTGTTATCTTCATATTTTGTGTAGCTTACTCCTTCTCATCTCTTAAGATTCAGCTTACATGTCACCTCCTTCAAGAGGCCTTCCCTGATGATCCTATCTAAAGTAGACCCCCTATTTAATTGTCTTTCTTAGCTCGTTTTTCCATAGCACTTACCATAACTTACAATTACTATTTTTTATACTTGTTTTTGTAATTTGTGTGTTTTCTCTTTTACCAGAATAGCACTTATTCAGTTCAACAAGTGCTTATTTAGGCAACTGTTAATTGGGCATTTACTAGGGGGAAAGTAACGCCAATGATAATAATAACAATGTGGCAGGAACCTTTATGTGTCTTACTATATCTGATCCTCAGAGCAACCAAATGAGGTCAGGACTGTTTTTATCTATATTTTTCTACAACTTAGAGGAAGGTGTATAAAATCCAAAGATTACACAGAAAGTGGCAGATTTTGGACTTGAAGTTGGTTCTGTCTCACTCCATGGGCTTCTCTTAACTGTTATGGCTTTGGTAACAAGACAATGATCCTATACTGGAAATATTACATTCTATCGGTGTAATTCAAATCCTCTTCAGTGTCCTCACCAAAAGCTATCTGGATAATGTAGCATAAAGACAAGAGACTGGAGAATTTATAGTGTTTATAAAGAGGAGTAATGAGATCAGTGTACAAAAATTAGTTGGTAAGAATGTAAGCATTGCTCAGTTATCATGGCTGACAGGGAGGGATCAGAGAAAGTTTTTTTCCCCTACTCAAGTACTCTCCATAGTACAAATGCAGTGAAGTGAGCACAGTATTTTTTTTTTTATATAAAGGAGAAATACGTTTTTGTAAATAGTTTGTTTATTAGCTATTTAAAAAAATATTGGCCATCTCTCAAGATAAATATCATGTGTTTGTAACTACTCTAAAAATACCCCCAAAGCAGGCATGGGGTTGTGTTTCTTTTGGCTCCAGGATCAGCACTCATTTGGGGACAACAAGTAGCACCTGGACTCTACCATTTATTCCTTACAGCCATAATTTTCAGTCAAGACTTGGAATAGTCATGGAACAATTCCAAGAAATCTTGGCCAGGAGGACTCAGTGAAAATTAAAGCCAAATGCCATGTTTCTCTAACCCTGAGAAATGCTGAGGTGAAAATTTCTTAATAATGTAAAGGAAATCAAGAGTCACTGTCAGGAAAAAAAAAAGGAGAATAGAATTTGTCAGTATACATCTAGCCAAAAGAATCAATTCAATACTAGGATATTGAGCTTGGAGCTTGAACAACCAGAACTCTGAGTCTGAAGTCATAAATAAATAAATCTATATAGTTAGACTATTTTGATTTGGACTTTCATGCTCTTGGATTTTCAGGACCAAGATACACGACTTGATGATTGGTTCTTCCCTCCAACCCATGCAGAAAACCCAGAAAGAGTTAGTGAGATGAAGTTCCAATTACAGGAATGGTGGAATAGCTTGTATCAGATATCAATGATAAATCTGGACAATAATTAAATACACACACACACACACACACACACACACACACACACAAAGAGTGATCAAAAGGCAGCAAAAGCTAGAGGAAGTTATTCAATTCCTGAAAGAAGTGAATGGCACTGGTGAGATCTGTGGTTACTTAAGAATCCATACAGTATGAGGTGGCTTTAAACTCAAAAGAAATACATGGTCATATTGATTTGAGGTGTCGGAAAAAAAAAGTCAGAAGGTGGAAATCTCAGAAAGATGGAGTTATGGGGCAAAACACCAAATATGCATATAAACTTCCTTTCAAATCTTTGCCTGATCCCTGAACTGTGCATATTTAAGGGAGACTTCAAGGAGCCTGGGAGAAAACAACAGCTGGAAGCCTGAAAAATTTGAACAGAAATTTCAGCTGCTGTCTGTCACATGAGGGACAGAGATTGTAATTTGAATCTCACAAATTGAGGGGCTTGATAAACACCTTGTGCTTTCCAGTGAAAACTAAAAGACATGCCTCAGGAGTAAAGTCTATGTCCCAGGACTAAGGATTTGCCTTAAGTCTAATGTGTAACCACAACAGACTCACCCTAACGAAGTCTGAACTGCAGCTGCTACAAGAACAAGATGACCAGACATTCATCCAACTGCGTGCTAGATCCCAGACCAACACTCTTCTGTCTCTACAACATATCAACCACACTTTCCAGTATACAATTTTAAAAATTACTAGACATGCAAAGAAACAGAAAAATGTGGCCCATGGCCAAGAGAATGATCTATGACTTGAAACCCTGAGATGACCCAGATAATAGGACTAGCTGACAAGGGTTTTAAAGAAGCTATTGCACATACATTCAAATAGTTAAGGGAAAATGTCCATATTGAGTGAACATATAGGGAAATATCAGCAGTGACATGGAAACTTTATATATATATATATATATATATATGAAACAGAACCAAATGAAATTATTAAAGAAAAAATAGAAAACTGAAATGATGGGAATTCCGTGGTTGTCCAGTGGTTAGGACTCCATGCTTCCAATGCAAGGGGCACAGGTTCGATCTCTGGTTGGGGAACTAAGATCCCACAAGCCATGCGGTGCGACCAAAATAAATAACTAAATAACTGAAATGAAAGACTCACTGGATGGGCTTACTAAGAGATTGGAAAGTACAGAAGAAAGGGTTAGTGAACTTGCATACAGATCATTTGAAATTATACAGTTAAAGAACAGAGAAAAAATATTGGGAAGAAAATTGTCAAAGGTTCAGCAACCTCATTGCCAATATCAAGTAACATCTGTGCACTTTACATAGAGAATCCAGAGGACAAGAGAGAGAGAATGAGGCAGAAAACTTTTTTAAGAAACCAAATCTGGGGACTTCCCTGGTGGTCCAATGGCTAAGGCTCCGCACTCCCAATGCAGGGGGCCCAGGTTCGATTACTGGTTGGGGAACTAGATCGCACATGCATGCCACAACAAAGAGTTTGCATGCTGCAACTAAGAGTCTGCATGCTGCAACTAAGAAGTCCATATGCTGCAACTAAGGAGACCGCATGCCGCAACTAAAGATCCCACATGCTGCAACAGTCCTGGCACAGCCAAAATTAATTAATTAATATGTTAATAAATAAATATTTTTTTAAAAAAAGAAACCAAAGCTGAACTTCTCTCAAATTTAGTGAAAAACATTAACTTTTAGAACCAAGAAGCTAGGCAAGCCCTAAGAAGGAAAAATACAAGGAAAATCACACCTGGACATAATATTTAAACTGTTGAGAACAAAAGGATGGAGAAAAATCTTCAAAGCATTCAGATAAAAATGACACTTTACATAGAGAGCAAAGACACAAATGATGGCTAACTTGACATCAGAAAAAATGGATAACAGAAGACAATGGAACTGCATCTTTAAAGTGCTAAAGAAGAAAAAGTCAAACCAGAGTTCTCTATCCAGAAAAATATTCTTTTAAAATGAAAGTGAAATAAAGATGTTTTGAGTAAGTGAAAGCTGGCAGACCTGTGCTACAAGAAATACTAAAGGAAGTTCTTCAGACAGAAGTAACATCAGAAGGAAAGTTGGATCTCAGAAAATAATGAAATGCTTTGGAAAGTGTAAATTTATAGATAAATATATTTTTTCTCTTAATTTCTTTAAAAAAACCTGACTCTAATACAAATATATAACATTGTATTATGGGGTTTATAACATACAGAGTTGTAAAAATATACGGCAATAATACCACAAAGGATGTTGAAGGGAGGAGGCTGTAAATGGAGTTATACTGTTCCAAGTTTTTTTAATGTGAAGTAATACAATATTTACTCTAAGAAGACTGTGAAATTGTATTCCTAGAATTAAGGTTGTGGATAGAACTAAGGTTGCTGACCTAAAGTAGGGAGGTTATCTTGGATTATCCAGATGGACCCAATGTAACCATTAGAGTGGAAGAGGGAGTCAGAAAAGAGGAGGCATGGGAAGATTTAACTACAGAAGAGGAAGTCAGAGTGATGTGATGTGAGAAGGATTGGAGCCACTATTGTTGGATTTGAAGGTGGAAGAAAGGGGTCATGAGTGAAGGAATAAGGGCAGTCTCTAGAAGCTGGAAAAGTCAAGGACATGGATTCTTCTCTAGCACTTCCAGAAGGAATACAGCCCTCCTAATACTTTGATTTTAACCCAGTGAGATCCATGTTAATTTCTAACATACAGAACGATAAGATTATAAATTTGGATTGTTTTAAG